CCATGTAAACCCCCGGCTCCGATCGCCGACAGGACCATCCAGTTGGCTCAGCCTTAAGAGATGGATTTGCTTGTGAGAGCATAATATCCATAATAAATGAGAAAATCCCGCCCGTAAACAAAAAGCTTATAAAACCTCCGTAAACAAACCCTTCACTCTGCGTAAGAAAAGCCGCGCAATCCCTTCACGGCCCCATTTATATCTCCAATAATTCCAATATTCCAGCTCTTGGCCGACACATGATACGAGGTGAGACGAAGGAAGACGGAATAAGACGAAAGAAGATGAAATAAGATTAACTTCGACCGTTGGGCCGCTGACCGTTGCCTCAAAGACCCGATCCCCTACGATGTTTCAGTGGCAAAAGTGGCGAATGCAGGTGCAGATCATGAGCTATGGCGCTATTATAACATTACAGTGGAACACTTCTAACCCTGCTCTCACTACCAAGACTCTTGAGATAGCACTAGCATCGCGATTAGCACTAAACTCGCCGGCTGGACCGGGCTGGGCTCGACGGAGGAACAATGCGCCTAGATCACGGTGACCACGGTGGTTGAGTGCCGGTCGGAGAAGGCGGCGAAAGTGCCGATGTGGGGGAGTCGGGGTCGGGGCCGGGATGGATAGCTGAAGGTCGGGGGGATTTTCTCCGAGCCTTGGGGGTAAGGCTGAGGCTGAGTTGTGGATTTACATGGAAAGATATAGAGATGGGAGAGATACGTCGTGCGATGGATTGATGAGAAACCGGTGGTATTATACAGCAGGATTAAAATGGTCATTAGATCGATCGGTGATGGATACAGACGGGCGAATGGAAGTATATTAAAACAGGCCCATCTTTCTTCCCCCTACCCCCTTTTTTACGCCTTGCCCGTCGCTCCTTCCTTTTCATCCTTGGCCTGTTCGCACCTTCCCTTTCACTCGCACTTTCCACTTATTCCCATCGCTCCTTCCCTTACACCTACACCCGCTCCTTCCTTCAGTGGAAGACGGTCTTTGTCACCACTGGTGCTTGCCACCACTGTCCGACATGGCAACGGCAAGCGCGCTCGATCTCGTCGTCCTGGAAGTCCTTGAGCTTCGGCCACTTGGGCAGGTACGTCTGGCAGCGCGAGTTACCAAGTCTGCCGCCGTAGTTGCCGAAGGGTCCCTTGTCGCCGAGGCTGCGGGCGGCCCAGCGGTTCTTGATGGTCGTTGTGGTCGTGATGGCACTGGATGCGTTAGTACGCGTCTCTCCATACCGCATCTTCGCGACGCATATCGACATAGGGGGAGGGAGATCGTCAAGGGGAAAGGGACACTCACTTAACCTGCTTAACCTTCAACCAATCGTAGCAGAACGCCAGGCTATCCGTCTTCCTGTTCCCAAAGCACCCGTGGAAGTCAAACACCAACCTCGGCGGGCAAGGGGGCGAAGTTGGCGCTACCGTCACCACTGGTGGTGCGGTTCCAGAAGGAGTCGGGTATTGGCAGTCGTACACGTTGATGCGGTCCTTGCCTCCACACTTCTGGCTTGGGTTGCCTGCACAAGGCATATCGCACTGCTCGTTTCCATCGGGCGCGGGCACACCAGTCGAAGCAAGGGAATCCGCACACCAGCACTCCTGACCATACTCTGTTCCAGCGAAGCGGAAGCCAAGGGCGATACAGGCAGCGGTGCATGTCTCGTGGGATTGATTGGCATCACCGCCCTCGACGGAGGTCTTCAGTGTGCGGCCAGAGGTGGAATCCGTGTAGCATCCAAGAGGCTTGCAGCCGTTGACGTCCGGTGGTGTGGGGATGGCGGCAGAGCAGTCCCAGAGATCGAGATACTCCTGACCACCGCAGGTCTTTGAGGAGTCGCCAGAGCAGGGGAAGGTGCACTTGGATGCGTCAATGACCGGAGGCGAGACGTTGTGAAGGACATCACCACACCAGCACTCGAAGCTGTATTCGAGGCCGGCATACTTGAGACCAGCGGCAAGGCAGATGGCGCGGCAAGACTCGGGGGTCTGGGCACCCTCGTTAATCTGGGAGTTGAAAGTCAGGACGCGCGAGGGGAGACCGATGGGGTCGGCGTAGCAGCCGAGGTTGACGCAGGAGGTTGCTGTGGAAGTTGGGGCCGCGGTAGTGGTAGTGGGTTTCTTGGTCGTGGAGGTGGTGCAGGGCGGCTCTGGGTTTCCGCCGCCGCCTCCACCACCGCCATGGTTGCCACCGAGGCCAAGGAGGCCGCCGATGCCTCCAATGATGCCGCCGAGGAGGCCACCGAGTCCGCCGACGTTGACTCCCACACCCACGCCTACTCCCACGCCTGCACTACCAGGGTTTGGGTCTGGGTTCGCTTTCGCGTTGGCTAGGACGACGAGGCCCGCGGCCACAAAAGAAGCAGAGATCTTCATTGTGAAGGTAGGTTCGAGGTGTCTCGAGAATAAATAAGACAGATGTGGGTGGATAGAAGACAAGGAGGTGGGATCCTAACAGCAGATCCCCCGCTCTAAATACCCCTTCCCTCCCTCACTCACGATGCCTCACCTCGCAACCATGTGCCGTTCATCTCCCAGCATTCTCGCAGTTGACAAACACAGCTTCGGCCTGCATCCCCTGGTCTTTCCGGCAGGCTACGCCTTACTCCGTGCATTCCCCGCGCGCTCTGTCACTTATTCCTCACTCTCGTAGCCTTTTTCAGCCCCGCTCCTGTCCGTCTGCAGGTCCCCAATAAAGCCTGCAGCCGTAATATTGCCACCTTGCTCCATATTAATATTCCATGGGTGGCTATCCGCATCTGGATGGGCTGGCCCCTACAGACCGTGCATGGTCCCCGTCTTCCTATCTGGGCATCGATGGTCGCTGCCAACGCGCTTTCGGGCCCGGCATGGTCAATGCCGGCGCCTTGTTGAGAACATACTGGTCACTTATCCCGCGATAGATGAGGGTATATCAGGGTGGTATTGAGGTATAAGCGCCTGGATGGGGCTCGGACGGGACTACCAACCAACAATACCTAGCACTGTCTTTCCCTCGGCCGTTCCCCTTTCTGTGGCTGCCCTGGAAAGAGAAAGACGGAAATGAAATAAATGGGAAGGCTCGGCAAGGGACAGTAACGAGGGGGAGGCGCGAGCTGAATCGACTGATCGGATCGTGCATTTATCAGTCAGCAAGGTGTGAATGTGTTGTTCGTGGTTGATACTTCCGTGTCTATTGTTAGAACAAGAGTTTATACTTCATTGACCACGCACCACATCGAGTATTATGTGCAGAGTATGCAAGGTATGCACCGCATACAATCATATACCCCATGTCTCGCAAAGAATATATCGAATGGTATGTATCAAATAGGATATGTGGTCAGTCATCGTACCCCGTATTCGAACACACAAAGCGATATACTCGCCTGTAGGCAATATGCGAGTGGTCGCATCGCATCACAGCCGCACTATATCCCACATATCCTTCCCGTGCCACCAATACTTTCCCCTGAGACTTGCGGCGGTCAAGGCACACAGTGCCACACAGTGCCACAGTGCATATATCGTGCATACCCCGTACATAACTGCATATTCTTCCTGCTTCGCATCTCATCCATACCACGCACTACAGGCGAGCCCTGGACAGCCAGCGCACACAGCATAGTGTCGCACAAAATCGAGCATTCTCCTCGCTTCCGACGAGCTCGATATAAGACAAGTCTGATATACGACGGACCCTTTCCGATGCAAGGCAGCGCACCTTACCCAGGCGATGTGTGGCAATGATCTAGACCAAACAGTGCAGCACAAGTGCACTATCGAAGCGCTAACCCTGTCTACTCCCCAAATCCGTGCCTGTCTGTGCGCCGGGCTTGTCGCCTGCGGGTCTAGCCTGGGCCGCGGTCAACCAGGTCAGCGTGTTTATATTAGTGGCGATATGCTTGTGTTGCTATGGCGGCGGGGTATGTGAACTGGGAGTGTAGGTATGAGCAGGAAAAGTAGGTGCTATGTACACATTCACTGGCGGGTCCGAGAGTCAATCAAAGCGATGAGGACGCCTTAGGAGTGGGTTGGATCAAGAAGGGGGGTTGAGATTCATTGGGGGAGATAGGCTTGGAATGCTTGGTGATGCTTGTGTTACATGGTAGCTGCACGTGAGAGAGGGGGAATAGAGAGGCGCATCCAGAGGATAGTTCGGGAGAGACACATGGGACGATGGTTGGTGGATGCATTGAGTTCAGGGGATAAGTTCCTCGCTAACTTTGTCCTGTTCCACCGCTGAGCAGCCGCCTGGTGCGGCTTCAGGGTCCGAGGTCCACCACCGGCACGAAGTTTCGTGTCCAGCTCCAAGGCTACGCGCCCATATCTTGTGCGCTACAGCGCGTGCCCGACCCGATGGAGAATCTGCACATGAAAGATGATCCCTCGTGTCTCAGGGAGTTCCAATGCACCACAACATGGCAGTCACGGGGAAGTCTCGCAAACCCACTCGCCAAGTTGAACACAGCAAGGGACCCTGCAGCTTCGTCCGCATAGTTCTCCGAAAAGGCAAGAGGCAGCTCAGAAGTGCAGGTATATTAGGGAACAGACAGAACCGACAGCCGTGAGACACTGTATGTACTGTAATGGGCGGTGTGTATGCATTCGGTTGAGCACCGAACGCGAGAGCAACACGCGGTACGAAGTCATAGCTCTGACAACGAAAAGTGAGACACCAACCCACGTTCCGTACGTATGCTATCACAGCGCTCGGTGAAGTATGATAACCTCCAGACTGCTGTACTTGCAGCTGCCTTAGCTTCGCGCCATTGGCCGGCTGGATGTGTCCATAGTGCTTTATTGCATTAAGCACACATGGAGTAGTATGGGTGATGTGGCACATATATCCACTCTTGACCTATTCCAAGAATTCCATTGGTGTGTATGGGCGCCGCCATCGTTGTCCAGATCTCGGGAGTTGGCCGCTGGGCTCGGTCTAGTTTCTCTTTGACGCTGGTCCTCGTTCTTCTTTAACCATTCAAATGCGCCGCACTCCGGCAGTTGCGGCATCCTCTCTCAACCTCCACCCTCAATATCACCTCCGTCCAGCCACTCATCCTCCGGGTCCATATCCCTATCCTCCCCATACAACACCTCGCAAACGCCGCCCAACGGCACATCCAAGCACGCATCCGTTCCCACGCTCCACACAGCCTTCCAATCCTTCTCCTGCCTCAAGCTCTTCATCCTCTTCTTCTCCAATTTCTCCTTCCTCCTCACCTCCTTCCCCTTCTCCACCACCCCTGCGTGCTTCCCCTCCGGATTACTCCTCTTCAAGCTCCCCTTCCCATCCAACGTCGCCACATTCGCCGCCTGATCAATAATCGTCTCAATGCTACTCATTGGCAGCGTCAGGTACCCCGTATTGTATGCCGCAAGCGCGACGTAGATGTACACAATACACATGACCAGCCAGGACGGGATCGCCAACGACCACCAGCGGTTGGGGTAGTAGTAAATCCCCAGCGCGTGTAGGAATGGGCTGGGTAGATAGCTCCACAGGATATACATGAGGAACGCGAGCGACGAGAACAGGTATAGCACAAAACCGTAGTATTCGTAGGTCGGGACCTTAGGGCTGGCGCGTGGGACGGGTTCGAAGTCATCGTTGTCGGAGGCGTCGGGAGTGGTAGGGCGGGAGGGTCGGAGGAGGGAGGTTAGAGAAGGCGAGGGCGGAAGGGGAGTCGGCGGCCGGTTGTAGAAAGGGGGCGCGAAGAAGTTGTGGTGGACGAGAGGAGGGGAGGGAGATGGTGATGGCTCTGGCGAGGAGGAGCTGGGGGATCCGTTGTAGTGGGATTGGAAAGCGGATTCGTCGTCGTCGTCATCGTCGCCAGAGGAGTAGGACGTCATTTCTGCGACACGTGCACGAATCTGGAGACGCCTTGTTGTTATGTTGTGCTTGTCGTTGTCGTGGTCAAGTGCTGGCGTGCGGATTGAAGTTAGGAGATTATGGTAGATTCACGCGAGGCTGTGGCTATGCAAGGCTGACAATACTCCACAGTCAACTCGGCGAGTTTATGACAACATCGAGGTAATTTCTTGACAAACATACATAAATTATATATAAATCAGATGGGAAGTGGTATCTTTTCTCTTCTTTCAATTCCAATATATACCAGTATTTTGAACTAGATATCATTATGGATGAAGCGATGAGCCAACCTACTGTGAAATAGGCAAATCATCTTCATTATTTCATACCCAGGATATCTTCCATCTAAACCGAAATTATACAAACGCCTGACAATGCTACTCTTCCTTAAAAAAAGGCCCCCCGCCCGCTAAAATGCGAATTGCTCGATACCGTCGTCGTCGTATGCAGCCTGTAAGCTTAAGATATTTCCCTTTCGTTTCTCCGCCCTAAGCCAGTGCTGAGACATGTCTAGAAGCACAGGTATTGTCTCTCAGGCGCATATATCAAACCTCTACATTCCGTTCCTTCCGTTCTTCCTTCACTTCTACCACCTCCGTCTCAACCCCCGAATGCACTTTCATCCTCTCCATCCCAACCGCATTCCTCTCCCACGACGCACATGCAACCAGCACCCCTAGCCCAGCAACCCCAGTAAGCGCCGTCATCTGCACCCTAAACACTTTTGCATACACCGCCCGCACCATAGCCAGCACATCGGGTTCAAATGTCAACGCTCCTAACGGACTTCGATGCAGCGCCTCCATCTGCGCATCCGAGAGAAAACCCCCTAAAGCAGACTCGGAACGGGCGTTAAACAGCGCTGTAGCAATAGTGAGTCCGATGAAGCCACCCAGTGGACGCAGTTGCGCCGTTGCGCCCTGCGTGGCCGCGATCTCGCCTACCTCCGAGTTTAGGGTGACTATTAGCGTACCGGCTGAGAGGCACATTCCAACGCCGATTCCGAGGAGAACTTCTACGCCGTACAGGTAATGTGGGATGCTCAATGTGTCGGGGATGGTGGTTAGGAGGCCGAGGGCAAGGAGTTGGAGACTAGAGCCGCCTATGAGGGTTGGGGAGGTGAGGTTGCGGCCGGAGGAGATTGCGCCGCCGACGAAGGAGCCAAGGCCGGTGGCGGCGGCGAGGGGGAGGAGAGAGAGTCCTGCCTGTAGTGGGGAGGACCCGTTGACGAGCTGGAAGCGTTCGGGGAGGAGGATGGTGGCTGTTATCAAGGGGAAGCCGGTGCAGAATATGGAGCTGGTGGTATCTGGTTAGTTCATGGCAATGCCAGAGTAAAAAGGAGTGGGAGATGAGCATACCAGAAAGCGGCAGCCATGACGCGGCGCTTGAGAATGTGCATTGGGAATATGGGTTCGATATTCGACCAGGAACGCGTGCCAAGGAAGCCTTCCCACGAAAAAAATGCGACCCAGAACACGCCCGACAGTACGAGGCAGGTGACAATAACCGCCTCTCCCCAGGAACGTCCTCCCGTCGTCGCCCTCTGCAGGCCATATACTAAGCATACCGAGCCTCCCATCATGAACAGTACACCGACAAAGTCGATACTCAGAAACGTACGCCATTTGCCGCTATCAGAAGTCTTCGCGCTAGCCGGCCAGATGAAGAAGATAGACGCCATGGCGATTACGGAAAATGGTAGGTTCATATAGAAAATCCACCTCCAAGTCGATTGATTCGATATCGCACCACCCAATATAGGACCTAGCACTCCCGACCCGCCGACAGTGAGTCCGATCCACGCCGCGCCGGCCGCGAACTTCGATGGATTCAGAACCTCAGCGATCATGACCATTCCCATGGAGTAAAGTCCCGCGCCGCCGAGGCCCTGGAAGGCACGGAAAACGATGAGCTGGCGGATCGTGTGTGAGAGGGCGCAGGCGAGCGAGAAGACCATGAAGAGCGCCCAGGAGACAAGCATAATGGTTTTACGGCCGTATATATCGCTTAGTCGCGCGATGGCCATTGCGAAACCTGGAAGTGTTAGGGGGCACGAGACAATGATGGGAGGGCGACTTACTCATATATGTCAAGAGATAGGCCAGGACGATCCATGGCGATAGCCAAAAGCTTCCGAGCTCCTCTACGATACTGACCAGCGCCGTCCCTATGATAGTTGTGTCCAGAGTCGAGAAAAACACCCCAACAAAGATACTAGGGCATAAGGTTAGCAGTGAAGAAGATTTGAGTTATCCTGGCGCGAGGAACGTACCCTGCCAGTGCAACATTCCTCCTCCATGGTTCCACATGAGGCCATGGCACAGCATGTTTGTTAGCCGTACTCGTGGCCACGACGTGACTCTGGATGTCTTTCTCGGGTTCGGATCCGACGCAAGGGACCACTGTCACAGACGTTGCCGTAATATCCATTTCGGGGCTCTTGGGTGCTTGGAGGTCAATATTGCTCGCCCTTTGCGACTCGAATTCCTTGGGGGAAACGAGACTATCCGGGTTGCTACTAGACATTGCGGCGGCGAGTTGGGGTGCCGATATAAGGTTTGCCCTCTACTATGTGGCTCTACGCCTGGGAAAGGGACAGGATCCTCGAGCGGAGCTGGGTGATGTGGTAATATATGCGAACAGGAGATCGGTCCCTAAATATCAACTCCAGTCACTGACAAAGACTCGGTGAACGTCTCTGGTAGCATCAATGGCTTCCCAGGATATGTAAGGGCTGGCTTCTCCTTTCCTCATACAGCAAGCGCAGTTCATTGGTATTACGGCCGTAGCTCGAAGTTTATATGCCAGGGCGAGTCCAACGCACGTATAGTCTGCTCCAACGTACGTATAGCCTGCATGCCGATCAAGCTGCCCGCCAGTCGATTTCAAACAGTGGGGAATACAGCACGGAAAAAGAAGTGGAAGCTGCCTTACTTCCACATATATATTTGATGGAGTAGTCGAATCGTCGACGACGTTGAAAAAAGGTCAACCTGTCCCCCTAACCGAAACTAGAGGGCACACTCTAAGTAATAACCGACCTCTAGCACTATACCATCGGGCCACACTATCCCGTCGTCCTTTGTACTGGGATGAAGCAGCGGGCACTATCGAGGCCGCTGTGGGGCTGTCAGAAAGTGACATTTGCGTCACCTCCTAGGGTATTGGCTTGCGTCGACCAAACGGCCTCCAGGAACCCTTACTTCAGGCTTCAGTCCCTAGCTTGTTGCGGCTATATTAGACCATCCAGAAGTCCAATCAAAGTCCTAAAGTAGACACGCGGCGAGCCAAGAAGGAAGAGAAGGATTGCAAGCCTAGAGATCCAAGTATAGGGCGTCGTCTGTGGCCTAATCCATCTGGCCCCAAATTACACTCTGCCCATCCATCCCGTGGCCTTCCCCAACGGCCATCCAAAAGCTTTCCCCCGCAGAGAATCACACATTAACCAGCCTCGGTCATATCTCCTAAAACAACACTGTCTGCCCTGGTCGTCTACAGAGCACATTTAGCCTCTTCACCGCGTACGCCACGGCCACGCCACGCCGGCGCGCAACCGAACAGACGGAACGCGCGATTGGCCTTGTGGATGAAGAACATCAAAACGACGCCGATCCTCGGTTGCAGCGCTCAATCAAACGGACTGGGAAGCGAGATGACAGTCCTACGCGGTCAAGCGCGCTCCATTGGGGGATAAATGCTAGGGCCGGTGGCGCATGAGGCGCATGAGACGGGTGGAAACCGTCAAAGCATGATGGACAGTGCTTGACGCAGGTGAGTGGGGTTGACGAAGAGGCCAGAAGGGGAACTGGTAAGCGATGTGGTGAAGGTAAAGACGCCGGAGTGATGCCGGCGTATTACTGTGTTGTGCTTTCCCGCTGTAAATTACTCGTATTGTCACGTGAAATCCGACCGTTCCGATATAACACTAGGATTGTCATCTTTTCCCCGATGGGCTGACTTGTACCACATATACTGCACTGTATAACCCCAGAACATGTTGGCGCCAAGCACTGTGAAGACGCCGGTGAGGGCCAAGGTCGATCTGATAGCCTGGGATCCGGATTCCCCAGCCCATACCGAGAGGATGGTTCAGCATCGGATTGCATGCGGGTGGAAACAGGACTATATCGAAGGGTGGCGGGGTTTGCAGAGAGAGGGGAAGATGGGTCTTCAGTGGGTTGTGAGTTTCTCATTTTGTTTACGATGGGGTTTATAAGACCTAAAAAAAGCAATGCTTCTTCCGATTTTTACTTTTCGCCTGTTGAGATTGTAGCTATACAAATGCGAATATTGCGAGTGGTTGTATTTATGATATATAATTCTAACTACCAACGCAGGTTCTAGCAGAGGACGACCCAGAGAAGGAAACCAAGCTCGCCCAGCACCTACTGAAGTACCCCGAAGACGCCACACCCATTCTTGACACCGCCACCTCCCTGGCTGGTAAGCCACGATTACCCTCTTCGCGTTCATTCGTCCCCGTGGGCCATATCTCTCTCGACTCAGAAAGCCCCAATCCTGGCCAAGCAGATGCCTCACAAGGACTCTACTGCATCACTACTCTCTACATCTCCCGCGCTATTCATGGAGGTGGGTTAGGCCGTGCTGCCCTGGACGCCGTCGAGAGCCAGGCCATCAACGAGCCGTTGTGTGCGAAGATATTGTCTCTTGATACTCTGGCAAACAGCAGTTGGAATAGAACAGATATATGGGAGGAGATGGGCCAGAAGAAGCCTGAGGTATTTGAGCTACCCTCAATGAAATCGAAAGTGGTGAGCTAATTGCAGACAGATGTCGGCTGAGGATTGGTATGAGAGATGTGGATATAAGGCCTGGAGATACAACGAAGGCCATATCCAGCACCGGACCGACGATGGTAGAGTTTGGCCCCTAGACGGCGTCTTTATGAAGAAAACGGTTGTATGAATTTGAATTACGATCTCTTAATTCTAACTCATGCGATTGTTTGGCTTTGTGAAGTAGAAGGCGAATACATTTACCTCTATCATGTAGGTTCTCAAAGGGCAGATTTTGTGACGTGACGATATAGAAGCCAACCGATACAGTGCAGTCATCTGCGCGAATTTCACAGATTAAGATATCAATATGTTCGCCTCTGGCAAGTAATAAACTAACGCCTATCATACAACCTACATAAGACAAGTGTCATCTTTCACCCGATGCGCCGCCGCAAAATCAAATATCGCCTCATAACTCCGACACTCGTGTACATCGCCCCATCCATCGAAACCAGGTATTACATCGCCATCCGCGTTTACCAGTGCCGTTTCCAGCGTTGTATCGCCCGTACACATGATCGCCTGACGCAGATAGTCGAAGCAGTGACCCAAGTTATTTTCCGCCGCTTGGTTTTCGCTCACGTCTCTGTCGCGACCGAAGGCGTCCCTGAGTATTGACTGTTCCGGTATTTAGTAAAATGTGGGAAACTGATAGACAGTATAGCTAGGGGTGCGTTGAAGGGGAAGGAGGATTTGCCTTACCAGACAGTAGAGCTGGTGAAACATTGAGATGGAGTATATCTCTGTCGCCACTTCGGTGTTTGGGACCGGGAACCCCCCCCTTAAACCGTAGTTCCACGGTTTCTGAACCTCTACGAACCCTGCGCCAACTATAAGTCCAGTGTCGTTAGCACAAGCCCCTGAGCACCTCAAGACTACACCAGAGAATAGATCCCCACAGAGAGATACGCAACGAGAGAAAATCAATAGCATACGGGGAAACAACATGTCCCACACTGACCGGTTCCCTGGTGTCCCCGACCCTGCATTGACAAACGCCTCATCCAGCCTGAATTTGACCATCTCCTTCGGTACTGGAGGTGTTTGTTAGCCTCTTTCCAACTCTTTTATGCACTTCACCGAGTGCCTTCAACCGTCGACAATGAACGAGAACACACTATTTCCAAAATAAGCCTCCGAGCGGACTGCCCCAGTTTCTAGGCTATCAGACATTGGGATATATGCCACGACGAGAAGGACGGTGAAGATGTAGAGGGCTGCTAAGGTGTAGTATCTCCGTTTCCATTTCGCGAGGGCGATGCGGACGTCATCGGCGGATGCGAGGTAGTATTCTGTCTCATCATCTGCAGATGACAAAGGAACCTCTTTCATTTTGATTCGAGGATGTTAATGATATCTGATGTGAACATATAAGTGTCAAATGTCCATGTGGTGGTCTGGACCATTAAATACTAAGCACTCTATATTTAGCCCGTTGTGGGGTTACCGTTTCTTTACGCCGCATGAGTCCTCGTATTCACCCGTCCCGTCTCAAACCAACAACGGTATTTTCGATGCATAATTTTTTCGTATTCAGCCGCTCTCAAAACAGTAATGGCATCTGCGCCTTTTGCTATATCTAATGGCCTGTACAGGATAAGTCTACAATTTGTGTGCAGAAACGGACAACAAAATTGCTGCTGATCCGGCCCCTTGGTTCAGTCTTGAGGCATCACCAGGTAATACCACTTCACTTCAAAAGAAAGGTCTTTATCGCAACCCCTCTATCCCTCAGAGCATCGGCATCCAGCCTCAGATCCCAGTGAACCACCTCCCCCGTCATCACGTTCTGGAAATGCTCCACGAAAATCGGCTGCGAATGCTGCCACTCGCCCTGAACCCGAATCCAGCCCGGCGGCAGCGGGCCTAAGCGGGGATCTTCGCGAGTTGTTTCATTTGTAGCGTTGTTGGTGTAGTGCGGCTGAGGTTGAGGGTGATCACGGTCGTCTATCAACTTTATCTTCCATCCGTCGGGAAGAGGGCTAAGGATAGATACAGAGTCACAGAGACTTGGTACCAAAGCACCTGTGATGACAACATAGGCGTCGTCACCGGCCGGCCGGAGGATCAATGAGGAGTTGCGTCCCAGTACAGTGGTGATCATATCGCCTGTCTCGTATTAATATATGGTGAGCAAGTTGGGAAGTTACACATGTTACGGAGCATTAAAACATACCAGCTCGGACCATCTCGCGGCCATCCCCGACCTTCCCAATCAGTCCGTTGTGGCTGACAATAAGGCTGTGGCCCTGGTTTCTTACCTTAAGCCGTGTCCATAGGTTAACATCGAAGGGGCCATTCGAGTCTCCACCTCCTAATGCGGCGTCGAGCAGGTTGCGAACCTCTTGCTGGTCCCACACGCTCGCATCGTCCGGGAGCCGGTCCTTGGTGAAGCAGTCGCACAGTATGGAGACAAGCTCATCGATCAAGTCTATATTGCAATCTTGTAGCCGTTTGGCAACTGGCTTTAAATCTCTCAGCATCTGCAATAGCGCCGACAGCCTTGAAATGTCCTCGGGAATCCAGCCAGGCGTAAATATGCTTTCAACACTGCCACAGACCAATCCATGCACTTCTAACATACCACCACCGAAGCATCGTGTCACTATTGATTGTTCTATGGGATTGTTCTATGGCGAGAATAGTATCCACGTCAAAGGCCGCTTTTATATTGGCTAACCAGTAACACTCATCGATCAACCCGACCACAGTAAGGGGAGCGATTTACGTCCGTACAGAGCCATAATTGCCCTGCGAACCGTTGCCCACGACCTCGCGGACTCCCCGCATATCATAACGCGATTTCGGTTCCCAAGCTGGATTTCCTGCCAAGACCAACGCTGTTGAAACCAAGCAAGCCTAAGCAAATCGACTACTCCGATCCATTCGACAATGGTAAATGGCGGTGCTGTGTTCTCCTTGACCCACTCCGGGTAAGTGGTCTGAGGGGTAGGGAAGCAGAAGTCATCCATAGTGTACTGGATCTCGCCCCCAAGCTTCGCCAGGGTCTCGAGACCAAGAGCAGCGCTGTCTCCTCGGTGGCTGAGCCACACGATGACGACCGATGCTAGCGCATAAACTCGCCCAATACACTTAGCCTGCATGGCCTTCTCACTTTTGTTATTGTGGTCTATGCATATCATGTCGACCCAAAGCGTGCGTGTCCTATCTGTGAGGCGGAGTTGTCTGATGGCGTCAGCGAGGTCAAATTGCATCTCAATTTTACTGTGCTCTTCAAGAGCATTGGCTGCATTGACCACCGTTATTTCAGCCTGCTGAGTTTTATCGCCCCACGTGGATGACAGCACCTCATATTCAGGCATGAATGTATCGTCTGGATAGTTTGGCAGTGGCGCATACAGCATACGACTGACTCGGGGGTTTGGATGATGCCATGATGTTTCTCCCGTGCGAATTCCCCAGAACAGATACTTGCAATCTATCGTCTCAAAAACTCGCCATCCGTCCAGCAACGTTTCTTGCAACTGGTTGATGGGCAACCTTTGGGTAGGAGCCGCGTCAGGCAGTTGTAACAAGGCGTGGTGGATCTCGATCTGGAGATCGTCCTCGAACTGGCCTGGAAGTATTGTGAGAAGTCTTATTTCTTCTACGGTTTCCAGAGACTTATACTCGTACAGCTTCATCGCTGACAGTATCCCACGAGTATTGGCCATGATGTGTGGTGTATATGTGAATATGCCGGATGATGCCTCTGCCTCGAGAAGCCAGAAGGCAGAAGCCACAAGCCGCTACTCGTAACTAATATGCATCAGTACTAATAATACTCGTAGCCAATAGTCTATATTGGGGAGCTTACACTATCTCGCCTTCAAATTAATAGACCGAGGTCGGATGTTGGAGCTTTTATTAGCACGAAGTTGCAAACACAAAACAAGTGAGACCCGAATACATTTATCAATTACCGTAGCTGTTGCAAGCTAAATTGTGCCCGCCTAACCTGCAACACTTAATAGTAAGATTTATCCATGTGATTTACTCGAGTGGTAGTAATAAAGTTTGTGGCTAACAACGTCCAGGGCCTTATAGGTTCTCAAACAGTGATTAAGCATTAAGTCTAGGCCTGGCAGTAGAGTCTTCACCTTCAGACTCACAGTCGCTGCCATAATTAAGTATACTAAGCTCCTAGGGCCTCGTCACAGACTGCGGCTAGCAGATTAATTAGAGTCGTAGCTGTGAGCGCATTTGGCATCAAGCCCAGTCTCATGGCTTATGTAAGTTACCATAACCAATAGTTACAAATATCGCTACAATGCCATCATCATGGAACACATGACAAAGAACATGGGAACTTAGAATCGTGGCAACTAAATCAATAACATGAAAAGCTTCTATACTGCCGTTTACCTCTTCACTGGTATCACTGCCGCTATCGCTACCCAGAAGAAGAACCTCATAATCGAAACAGACCTCTTCAGTGATGTCGAGTGAGCACCTGGGGCAATTCCCATATGTCCTTGAATACACCTCTGACAATCAAACAGTGATGCTGGTGCCCTGTTGCTTGCAGCAACTTCCCTGAACATAAATCTATTAGCTGTGAACATCAATCACCCATCGACCTACTCCGCCCTCGCCGCTTCAGCAATCTTAGCACACTATGGACATCCCAAGATCCCAATCGGAATCCGGCATCCGCTAACAAATGCCACCTTCTTCGATAGCTGGTACTTTGCTCTTGGCGAGTACACCAGCAAAGTCGCCTTCCACTGGTCTGGCGGGTCCTTGCCCTGGGGACATGTCGAGGAGGCCTGGGATCCGGTGGCGCTGTACCGGAAGGTGCTGAGCGAGGCTGAGGATGGCAGCGTGACTATTGCATCAATTGGCTTCCTTGATAATGTGAGTTTTACGGCCTTATACAGCAGCCATGGTCTTCTAATTAGATGGCAGCTCTCAGGACTGCTGAACTCGACCGCTGACTCCTATTCCGACCTTAGCGGCCGTGATCTCATTGCCCACAAGGTTGCCGAGCTAGTCATTATGGGCGGCGGCTACCCGTCGGGGTACAGTTGGAACTTCTGGGGCTCGAATGGTAGTCTCGCCGCGCACGTTGTTAATACGTGGGAGGGACAGATGGTGTTTGTCGGCGACGACGTTGGCAAGGATGTCAAGTCGGGTGGGGAGCTTATGTCTGCAGGGCCAAAGACGGATCCAGTGCGGATGGCGTATATTTACTACTCATACTATGAACCGACGTCTTCGTGGGATCCGCTGGCTACTCTGTATGCCATTGGTGGGCTGGGGGAGTTGTTCAAATATGGAAATGAGTATGGATACAACCATGTCAACGCCAATGGGGCGAATCGATGGGTGTGGGATCGGAAAGTGCAGAACCAGTTCTTTCTGAGGTTGAAGGTTAGCAATGAAACAGCTGCGCAGGAGCTAGATCGGTTGTTTCTCAAAGGGGCATTGTCAGTCGTGGAACAGCATACAGCAGAAGCACCACGAAGAAAGCATGTAGGTTCGGCACATACAGAGTTATAACTTTTTAGATAAAATTCTCTCTACAGATATATTTAACTAACACCTGAAACGCCCCCCAAGCTATCAATTTCAACCGGATCCCATCGTATGGTTACATCCAAAATACAAATCATATCTCGTCACTCCCTCCAAACCAAAGCATATATATAAAAGGGGCACGAGTTCGGTTTCTTGCCAGATTACATACATTTAAAACTACTATGGTATCGCAGTGTAAACAATCCTAGACCCGCTGCATTCCTCGACTCTCTTTAACACGCCGCGTTGGCGGCCGCGGTGGCAGGTGCGGCGGCGGCCGCCTTGTTGCCCTTGTGGTGAGGCTCGCGGGTCTCAATGTCACGGGCACAGGCAACATTGGCGTTGGTGGCAGCAGTAGCAGCAGCGCCGTTCTGTGCAGCAGCGCCGTTTGCAGCGGCGGCCTTGTTGCCCTTGTGATGGGGCTCGCGAGCCTCGATGTCGCGAGCACAAGCAACATTGGCGTTTGTGGCGGCAGCGGCGGCACCGTTGTTGCCCTTGTGGTGACGGGCCTCAATATCCTGGACGTCGCGAGCACAGGCTACATTGGCGTTGGTGGCGGTGGTAGCGGCAGTGGCATCTTGAGCAGCAGCGCCATTTCCAGCGGCCGCCTTGTTGCCCTTGTGATGCGGCTCTGGGGAACGGTCTTCAAGCTCGTCCTCATGGCGCGCAGCCGCCTGGACCTTCTTCCCTTTGTGATGCGGCTCGGGAGAACGGTCTTGAATGTCCTGGACCTTCTTCCCCTTGTGGTGCGGCTCTGGGGAGCGGTCTTGGATGTCCTGGACCTTCTTTCCCTTGTGATGCGGTTCGGGAGAGCGGTCTTGAATGTCCTGGACCTTCTTTCCCTTGTGATGAGGCTCGGGAGAGCGGTCTTCAAGCTCCTCTTCGTGGCGCGCGGCTGCCTGGACCTTCTTTCCCTTATGATGCGGTTCTGGGGAGCGGTCTTGGACTGCCTGGACCTTCTTTCCCTTGTGGTGAGGCTCGGGAGAGCGGTCTTGAATGTCCTGGGCCTTCTTTCCCTTGTGATGCGG